CCCTAGTTACTTCATGAAGACAGTTAAGGCTCAATATAAATTCTAACTCATTAGCTCAATACTGTCTCAATCCCAGTGTAAATTGTTCAGAAGTAGGCAATGAAAATTCAGTCCAAACTCTCCTGCAATCAAACAAAGCAATTTTATGAAACAATGAAAAGAATCAATTATATGAGTTACTTTTATTATTTTACAAGAAATTGTCATAACCTTTATGCACTGTACATAGTTGAGCAGGTTAATACACGATTTGGATCTCATCACCTCTGATAAGTGAACATGTTTTCTTGTATCTGAGAACTCAGACACTCTCAAAAAACTGTGAACCTGCTTTCAAACACATATGTAATTGAAGGAACTAAATGTTAGGTGGAAAAGTATTTTTTTCCCTTCTGATTTTCTTTTCTCCCATTTTCTGCTTTATACCACTGTGACATTTACATTTCACTTATTTTCAATATTCTTCCATGAAAAATATGATCCTGGAAATGAGAGTTAAACACAAAAAGTGAGTTCACGTCATTTAATTTTAATCAAAATGTAGGTGTTGATGCAGATTCCCTAGAGGAAAACAGGTAGTTCCAAATGGTCATGCATCCCATCTTAGGGCACATGTCCATAAAATAATAGAGCTGTTTTTATGGTACCTTGGGCTTCACTAAAAAAACCACTGAAAATCTGACTACACAATACCAAATGCTAAGCAGAAACAAGCCCAATCTTCATTTTTGCATCTGTTAAGGAGCGTTGAAGACAGAACTTTGTTCTGGCAGATTCTGCAGTGAAGCACATACTACTCATCCATCTTGCTCTAGTTTCATGCTGGATGTGGTACTGTCTGTCCTGCTGTGCCTAACTTGAAGGCAGCAAAGGCCCTCTGCGCTGGCTAGTTTTGCACTAGTGTGATTGCACTGTGATTCAGATGAAGTCAGAACTGCCTGGTGATCAGGCAACACCCAAATGAAGAGGGAAAGACCACAAGAGACAAATGGAATGAGTGGCCTCTGGGCATGCCTTCATTTGTACAGTAACTGCAGAAGAGTTTACAAATGGCTTAGACTTAGATGAAATAAGTAAGATGAATCTGGGCCAGAATGTCTTGGTTTTGTAGCTACAAAGTCTCCTGTCTTCACCATCCACTGAAAATTCTTTTTTTGACTTTTTTTTTTAATATGTTTGTAAAAAGTTTTTCAGACTTGGAGCAAAATTCTCTGATTTACATGTAAAGTTATAGTATTCTTAACAAGGTCACCATTTCACAAATTCTTTAAGCTTATTGTTTTGTACTTTCCCATCAAAACATGATGACATCCATACATCATATATATATAAAAGTATACATATAATACATAAATATATATTAGTAGTTATATGAATATTTGTTAATAGTATAAGCAAGGAATACTTTTGCATTTTATAGGGCTGGTGTATCCCAGTAATAAGATATTTTCCCTATTTATTAGAAAGATCTTCTAAAGTACAGTTAATTTAAGTTACATGCTGATGTTCGGTATGGAGATGGAGTCAATTCTGCTGTGACCCTTCCTAACCTGGTCACAGAATTTTGCACCGTCAGTCATAGATTGCCAATTATGGTACTGCTCATGTGGCTCAGAAATTAGAGCTTTTCTAAATCAGTACACTCTTCTGCCTCAAAATTACAGTGTCTATTGTTTTAGAGTGATATCAAACCCAATAATAAATTGGAAGAGAGAAGACAAGCTTCAGAAAGCAAAGTATCGAGGCTAGCATTCAGTCACTGACAGATTCTTTAATACTTGTAGTCTGGCATCGTCTATCAAGATTTGTTTACAAGGAAAATGATTCATAGACAGAATTCAATCTATAACATTAGAAACCACTTTCAAACTACAGGCTGTTGCACTCCTGAACACTTTAAGTGGACAGACACAGATACAAATAGTCTTGGCCATTTGCTGTGTTTTTCTTATGTTAGTTAAGTGGAACAATTTTCCTCTTAGAAGAAACAGTTATTTTCATTAATGTCAAAGCAAAATAAGTGCTATTCCTTAGACGCTGTTCACCGCCCGCACAACTAAGTGCAAGCTACCAGTTCTGTCACTTTTTACATTTTATTTTGATTTAATGTGTAAAGTAGTTTCAAAGAGTATTAAAAATCTGTTGCCTTCTTCCTCTTCACTTGTTGCCCTGCTGGAGGCTTATGTTTTTCCAGTTTCCATCAGCGGTTGTCAAGTCTTTGTAATAGGATTAAAAGCTTGGACACCTGATATCCCTGGGTGCTGCAGTTCACCCTCATAAAAGCGGTTTGCTTTAAATTGAGAGAAAATCAGGTTTTAGTGGCATAATTAATTAAATTATGCAAAGTGTTCCAGATTCAGCATAACACTTTCTGAAGCAGCAATTGGAAGCTCTACATTGCATTCAAACTGCATTTCAATTGATGCTGCACTAGGCTGACCACAGAGTAGCATTTTCAAGGCTTTCAAGCAAAAGGGATCCAATTTTGAAATGCAGATGCTTAATGTTGAGTGCTGAAACCCCATACATGTGCACTTGAATAGGCAATTTGGTAGCCAACTATGTATTTCATGTGCTACAGTGCTAATACGAGCACTCAAAAATTTGAAATTGAAGTTCCAAATGTAAGTACACGTGCTTAGATTGTCTCACATTTACTCATCACAGACAACCTGATGGAACAAAAATGACAATCATTTTCATAATTTAAAAGGCGGACCACAGGATTCCATGTTTTCCCCATCACCGGCATTTCAGCACATATTTTCCATAATGTGAGTTACCTTCTCTCATAATCACTAGTTATACAACAAACCATTATTTGTACACTGAAGTGGGTCTGTAAAAGCCTGATGCCTGGATTATTTGTATTCATTAGTAGCACAATTAGGTAGCTAAGGTTGGTAATAATAAAGGAAAACAATTCTGGACTGAAGGTAATGCAGCCAAGAAAAAGAAAATGAAGAAGAAAACTAGACTGTGCAATGTCAGCCTCGCAAACAAACTGACCTAAATGTATCAGATTAATTTTTACAATCACATCTCTTATTTGCTTACTCCTTTTCCTTTATGGTTCTGTGCCCATCAGGATTCTGCTTGCCTAAATTTAAGTTCCTACAATGTGAGTTGGGCAGTTTAGTTCCTGTCATAGTCAACAGGGATCTAGCCAACAGGCTCTAGAGAACTGTTGAACTACCTCTGTGGGAGACAGACCTATCTTTGGTCAGCTGAATCTGAATCTCCTCGTTCCACAGACTACAGTCCAAACTCAACTCAATTACCTAAGCACAAAGCATCTCAGTTGGCCAAAATAATTTGAGACGTGTCTTAGAGGGTTGGTGAGTACAAAAGAGCACCTGCAGGAGACCCCATGGCCATCTGGAGATGTAGATCAAGCACGATACTCAAGGGTATTTAAGATAGTAGCACATACCTACGCCTAGGCAACTAAACCAAACCTTTCTTAATTATTAGGTGGATTTTAGAAATTAAAATTAGGCTATCT